CTTAATTGAACCCAGAGCTCACTGACACGGGCTAGCCAGCTTGCTCCACGGATCCCGTCTCTACCTTCTGAGCACTAGACTTACAGAAAGGCCGCCACACCCCCTGGTGTATAGATGGATTCTGAGGATCTGAACCTTTTCCCTCATGTTTGGCACCAAGTGCGCTACCCACTGAACCATCACCTTAGCTTCTATGTGCTTTGTGATCGCTGTTTCCAGTTTCAGCTGAAAACAACATTTTCCATCTACTTAGGCAAGGAGCTGGATATTTTTGACATTCCCCTCCTTTTTACCCTCAGCAGCCAATTAATCACCAAGGGTTATTTATTTGCTACATATCCCAGGCTGGTGTCCCCGCATGGCAATCTTCCTCCTCTGTCCCCATATACTGTGATGAGAAGCGTGTGCCAGCAAGCCTGGCTCAATCACCGAGTTCTCCTGGCAATGGCTCCCAGCCTGCTCTCCAGCACTGGCTTCCCTGTTCACATCTGTTGTTGCTCTCCGTGCTCCTGCTTGCATGACCTCTGAGCTGGCCACTGCGAAGAACAGTGTGATCTTTCTGCCTTCACCGGGCGGGATGGACAGAGTAGCCCAGCTGCTCCAGGGGCAGGAAGTAGGGGTGGAGGAAGGGAGAGGGCCCAAGCAAGAGTATAATTCACTCCCAGTCCTGGTACTTGGGCCTTAAATGAAGTGAATACCAGACTCTCACTTGAGAGAGTGCTAAAGTTGATTGGGGTAAGCATAGCTGTGATAGGATTATCAGAACAGTGTCCCCTGGGGTCCACCAAACTATTTCTTGGTCAACAACTCTGCCAGTGAATCAGGCAGTAGGCCAACTGTGAACCTCCTAGAAATCTGGCTCTCTTTGATGATACAACTATTCTCTCAATAGTCTATTAAAATAAACAAACAAACGAATAAGAAAAATAACTGCTCTCTCTCTCAGGCTTTAGTTATTGGAGCTCATTACAGTACAATGTAGCTGAACTACACCATGGCATAGTGAGAGGTAGGAGGAGTGACCATGGAGGAGGAAGGGCACAAAGTGAAAGTTGTTGTTCTGAAGGAGGAGGAAAGGGGGTAGATGACTAAACTTCATTTCAGAGATGTCTGGGCAAGAGTCCTTCAAGTTTGGCGCTGAGGAATGGATCTGTGCTGAAAGGCAATCTTAACTGGCATCACACAGCTAGAAACTCCACTTAGCAGAATTCACATACAACTTAACAGCATATGCTTTCTGGTGTTTAGTATGTATGAGGTGCCGCTGCTCTTTATATGCTATGTGTAGTATTCCTTAAAATACAGCTGCTTCATGACAGAGGTACTATTATCCTCACCATTTATATGTGAGGAAACAGGAAAGAATGTCTAAGCTGTTCAGGGTCAATATAGGCGGTGACAGTGCTGAGATCGATATAGTTAAAAATATTGATATATTTAAACCTTATGCCTTGTTGGTGAGGACTGACTGAATGTGTCTTTGGGGATTCCACACACGAGTCGTCTAGGAACTTACAAACCCTCGGCTGTTGATGCCGGCCTGCAGCAGGCCTGAAAAGAATATGCTGGGTGAGTTGTTAGGGGTGAATCCGAGAGTCTGATCACTGTGTTGGGTGTGCCCACTGACTCATGGGGCTGAGGCTGCAGAGCAGTGCCCTGGCCCTGGTCAAAGGGGGAAGACCTCTCAGGTGAAGAGGGTGGCAGCACCTAGCATGTTCTGGGCAAACAGTAAGAGGGGTACACCAGTGAAGAAGTTACAGATGTGGGAGGAGAAAAAAAATCTTCAGTGAAGTTCATTCTAACCACATTCGAAGGGCCTGGAGGTTACCTTAGTCTGCGTTCTCTCAACTGGAAGGATCACAGAGGCACACAAGAGGTGAGGCCAGATGCAAGGCACAGAGTTCTCAAATTTTTGAGCCTCAAAAGAACCCGGACAGAAACTGGTTCCAAATGATTATGTTTATGTTACAGCCCTAGAAGGTCTGATTTGGGACTCTTCACTTGGGGACTAACGTGCAGGTAGTTTGCTGAGACTCCATCAGCTTATATGCAAAGTATGAATAGGCTGTGTGGGCCTTGTTGGAAGAGGAACCAACGGGCATGGTACATCTAGGAACATATAAACCTTTGGGCTGTACCATGAGCAACTTGAATCTTTGTGTACTATATCATCTGCCTGCTGTCTATGCTGTTGCTAGAGGTTAATGGCTACAATATTGGGCTGGAACCATTTCCATTGCCTCCTGATAATCTATAGTCTCCAAGTCTGCTCTGGCTACTCCAGAGCTCCTAATAACATGCTGCCTCTTTCCCTTTAATGAAGCACCTCCCTAGCTCCCAAGTGGCCTTGATCACTAAGAGCTCTGGTTATCATTTGGAGCAATAGACCTTGGTTGGGATCAGCTTCCTAAAGAATTGGTACAGGGCAGGGATCAAAATACCCTGGTCCTTCTAGGACAGGACAGTACCCCTACCCCTGAAAGTTGATGACATTAGTCAAGATTGCAGGCTGTCTTGGCTACTTTTCAATTGCCATGGTAAGACACCATTACCGAGGCAACTTATAAGCATTTAATGTGGGGCACACAGTTCTTGAGGGCTATGGCAGCGAGCATGGCAGCAGGCAGGCAGGCATGGCGCTGGAGCAGTAGCTGAAAGCTTACAGCTGATCTACAAGCATGAGACAAAAACCTAGGAATGGCATGGGCTTTTGAAATCTCAAAGCCTGCACCCTATGACACATCTCTTCCAACGAGGCTGCACCTTTAATAGTTTGTAAACAGTTCTATCAAGTATTCAAACATATGAGTTTATGGAGGCCATGCTCATTCAAACCACCACACAGGCCAAAGCTTGAGTAGAAGTAAATGGAGGCTTTAAGGTTGTGTGTGTGTGTGTGTATGTGTGTGTGTGTGTGTGTGTGTGCACGCGCACACACACACACTTGAGGACTAACTTTATCTCAAGAGGATGGATATTGGGGTGATAAAGATGCAGAGGTATCACGGAGCTGCTGATATTTTCAGTCACCTAGGAAACTTCATTTCACAAAGGTTAACGTTTAGCTCATGCAAACTCTGGCGCGCACGCGCGCACACACACACACACACACACACACACACACACACACACACACACACACAAATGTAGTTTGGAGGCACTATGTTCATTTCTGTGGCTTGAGCCTGGAAAAAGTACCACTGTAATCACTGCATTAGCACCTATCCCGAGAGCCTAGCGTCGCACTAGGTGAATTTGTAAAAACACTGCCAAGGGCATCATAGGAGGGCTCAACATCTAATTTCCTGGAGGGAGGCAGGAGTACCTTAGAGGAATTTTCTATTTACTACCTTTCTTGATCTAGATAAGGTCTGTGAAGGGCATAAACTTATGAATTGATTAGAAATTTCCAGATCAATGCAAAGGATTTTCTGGATAGTAATTACACTGAGAGGATCATTTCGATGGAAAGACTCCCCATTTTTTTTCTTTCCCAAAAGCAACTCAAGGCTAAGGTGAAGAGAGAGAGGATCTGATGAAACCTGCTCCAAGATACTGGGCAAACTTTGGTTTTATAGAATGCCTTGATATGAGGCTCCGAGAGCACCTTTGCTGGTAAATCTTGACTATCAAGACTTCTAACTCATCGCTGTTGTCGATTATAGGGTGCCTCGTAGAATACTAGTAGGTAATTTCTTTATTTGCTTCAAAGGTATGAGTTGGATTGTAGTAGAGTGAGAGGCTGGTGGATTCTCTGTAACAGTAGGGGGATTCTCTGTAATAGTATGGGGGTTCTCTGTAATAGTATGGGGGTTCTCTGTAATAGTAGGGGGTTCTCTATAATAGTAGGGGGATTCTCTGTAATAGTAGGGGATTCTCTGTAATAGTAGAGGATTATCTGTAATAGTAGGGGGGTTCTCTGTAATAGTAAGGGGGTTCTCTGTAATAGTAGGGGGTTCTCTGTAATAGTAGGGGGATTCTCTGTAATAGTAGGGGGATTCTCTGTAATAGTAGGGGGATTCTCTGTAATAGTAGGGGGTTCTCTGTAATAGTAGGGGGTTCTCTGTAATAGTAGGGGGATTCTCTGTAATAGTAGGGGGTTCTCTGTAATAGTATGGGGATTCTCTGTAATAGTAGGGGGTTCTCTGTAATAGTAGGGGATTCTCTGTAATAGTAGAGGATTATCTGTAATAGTAGGGGGGTTCTCTGTAATAGTAGGGGGGTTTTCTGTAATAGTAAGGGGGTTCTCTGTAATAGTAGGGGGGTTCTCTGTAATAGTAGGGGGATTCTCTGTAATAGTAGGGGGTTCTCTGTAATAGTAGGCGTGGAATATGAGAGTAGAGAGTTGCTGGTTGCCAAACCCCAAAGTAAAATTCTGATACGGGCAGGAAAATAGTCTAATTTCAGCCAGAGGTGGTATAAACACAAAGAGAAAATGCAAGTGTGCCTGGCCTGATTTCAGCTGCACAAGCAGTTAGAGCTGCTGGACCAAGGACTTGGTCTGAGGGGTTGTCTGAGATGCCTGAGGAGAATCCAGTGTGGGCATGATAAATGACTTTTATCAAATACTTATTGCATGCCATGATGTTTGATATGTTCTTTAATGTGATTATCACATTTAATCATTATAATCCTATGAAGTGGATATTATTACTCCCTGCAGTTTATGAGGTCATGGAGGCCCAGAGAGGTAGTACTTGATGGACTAAGAATTAGTGAAGCTCGGGATGGCTGAGCTTTCTTGGGTGCTGCGTTCAGGATTGATGAAACTTGGATCCCCTATGATATAGTGCCTGGCCCGGTTCTCTAAGGACTACAGGAACGTACCTCGTCCACTGGAGGATAGGGGAGAGTGCCGTAGGGACAAAGCATGTCTTAGGTGGTTGCTGTTCTGGTGGCCAGGTGACAGTTTGGTTATGGAGAAACTGGTCCTTTATCAGTTGGACATGTATCAACAGACCAGTCCAGGCTGCCCACTGATTTCCCTGGTAATGTGCTAGTTCTCATGCAGGTGCCAGCATGGGAAGGGACTGAGCAGCAAGGGACAAGGACATGCCATCCATGGATGAAACGAGCCGTCTGCCTTGGTGGTGAGATGACGTGGCGGCCTTGGGATCCAGGTCTCCTTTTCATGCAGTTATCTACATGTTGGTAAGGCTGGAGCCGAGGATGGGTGGGTGGATGGAGGAGGACGTTTGGCTGCTATGGTAACAAGTTCTGCTATGTACAGAGCTCTTCGGGGAATTGGAACTGTGGTATAGTCACTTTGATTCACTCCATTTGATGCGTAAAAAGATGGGGCTACTGGGACTCCAATTCCTGCAGCTTGAACTTAACTAGATAGTAAGTACGAGCTAAAAGTCCCGCCCTGCACAGCCCTGTGTAGCCTGCCACACCACACAAGACAAAGCCTTCTAACTCAATCATTCACTGCCCCCAGGTGGAACATGCAGAAAAAACAACAGCCAGCACTATCAGGGGGACAATGCTCTCTTCTCCTCCGAGGGAGGAGGCAAAGATGTCTGGGGGGCCAGGTGGAAGGCTGCAGTGTCACGCAGTGAGAGGGAAGAAGACAGAATTGAGGGCTGAAGAAAAGTGTAGCTGAGCCGGAGACGTGGTGTCTTAAGTGCACGGTCAGAACACGATGAGGAAAGACATCTCGAGCCGAAATTTAGAACCAGACACAGAAAGACACACCAGAGAGGTGAAGGGATGAGGACTAGCCAAAGGGACCATCCCAATGTCATCTAGACAAGTCTAGGAAGTTCAGTCACTGTCCTGCGGCAGGTTCTAATAATCCTCTAGCATTGTTTACAGGGGTAGGGTGAGTTTCATTCTAAGAAAATCTGGATAGGACAAAGTGACTTCCTGACGGACTGACCTCAAAAGAATCCAGTGACTCAAAGAAGTTCATGGGCAAATGAAATAGAAAGGCGAGTCATGCCGGGCGGTGGTGGCGCACGCCTTTAATCCCAGCACTCGGGAGGCAGAGCCAGGCGGATCTCTGTGAGTTCGAGGCCAGCCTGGGCTACCAAGTGAGTTCCAGGAAAAGGCGCAAAGCTACACAGAGAAACCCTGTCTCGAAAAAACCAAAAAAAAAAAAAAAAAAAAAAGAAAGGCGAGTCATTCCACACAGAAGCAGGCAGCCAGGCAGGCCTCTCCCCTTGCCGGTAGTAACCCCCACATTCCTGCCACATTCATCTGTGACAACAGCCCAGGCAGGTCTTGAACTTGCAGACTTCCTGCCCCGGCCTCCCAAATAGCTGAGATTACTGGTTTGTGTCACCAGGGGTGATTTTTTCCCTGGCAAAATTAGTACTGTTCAACTGTGTGCTTCTGATACATGTTAAGTCCTTCACGACCACTTCCCTCTATTTCCACCTCATCTTCTGTCATTGTCCCCCAGCAATACTGAGCTATAAGTTGTTCCTGAGACCTCCCTGCTTTTGTGGGTGCTGCTTCACATTTGATTTTATGTTGATTTTCACCCCATATTTTATGCTGCTCTGCCTCTGTACATGCCGGTGTGGCTTTCTACCACGCCCTTTCCCGACCTCTTTAAAGGTTCTGCCCAGCCCTTCTCACCCTCTGAAGCTTCATCTAACTCATTCCAGTTCTTCTCTGCAGTACTGCTTCTCAACCGTTTTCTCATTATTCTGCCTGCCTCCCACTCAAGGATCCCTTTAAGATGGCTTTTCTTGATCATTTCCTCCTGCCATGAAATTTTAATATCATAGACACACTATACATCTGTTTATGTACCGATTCCCTTTAGAGGACCATAAATTACTATAACATTAAAGTTATTTCACCTTCAGTAATGAATTTTTGCTCCTCTGGGGCACCATCAGCCATGTGGCGAATGTACGCAAAACAGGGTCAAACATGGCTACTCCAGTGTGTCTTTTTGTGGCTCATTTTCACTGTTGGGTTTCTATGGTGAAAGGCATTCTTGAGACTTCCTATCTTCTCTCTCTCTCTCTCTCTCCTCTCTCTCTCTCTCTCTCTCTCTCTCTCTCTCTCTCTCTCTCTCTCTCTCTCTCTCTCTCTCAGTCCCTTCCTTCCTCCTTCCCTCTTCCTCTCTCCCTCCCTCCCCCCTCTCTCTCCAGGGTTTCTTGGTGTTGCCCTAGCTATCCTGAAACTCCCTCTGTAGACTAGGCCGCCCTTGAATTCACAGAGATCCGCCTGCACCTGCCTCTGGAGTGCTGGGATTAAAAGCTTGTGCCACCACACCCAGCTGACCATGCCTTCTCAAAATTCCATAGTAACCCCCCAATGTGTGTGTGTGTGTGTGTGTGTGTGTGTCTGTGTCTGTGTCTGTGTCTGTGTCTCTGTGTGTGTCTGTGTCTGTCTGTCTTCTGGGGATGGAGTCCAAAGCCTCAGACATGGTAACCCTGCACTCTACACTGAGATAAACCTCAGTTTCCACATTTCCGTTAATAACTGCCATTCCACAAGGCTCAATATTTGTTTTATATCCTACTATTCTACGTATTCTTTCCAGGAGACTAGGTCTATTTCCTTAGTTTTAATAATCACCTATGACGCTATTAAGTTCGAGTCTATCATTTCACTGAAGATGTTTTCCTTGAGCTCCAGTCTCTTGCTGTTATTAGTATGGTCTATAGACTAGTGGTGGACAGCATCACTGAGAGTTTCTGTCAATGTAGTTTCCCAGATTCTGTCCCAGACCTCTTGAACCAGAGTTTGCATTTTGACAAGCTCCCAAGCTAGCCTGTACGCATACTAGAGATAAAGAAAGCCCAGGGCTGTGCCCTATTACCAGCTCTATAACAGATACTATCAATAAGACATAAGCACATTAATCCTCATGTACCTCAACAGATGAGTCATCTACACACAGAGTCCATGGCGCCCACCTCTTCTATGTCATTTCTATCTAACTGCTCCCATTCCTATCTGTCCTGCTTCCAGATGGCTCTGGACCGCGTTTCCTCGCTAAGCTAACCACTACCGCTTTCATCTACTCTTAGGTAGATTATCATCGCAAGCCCTGACAGATTTCCAGACTCACAGCCTCTCTCCCTGAATTTATCTGCCAACTACAGTTAGAGTCCTGTTTCTAAGATACAAATCGGACAGAGATGTAACTCTTGGCTAAATTCCTTTCGATGATTCTTCAGTGTCTGAAGGGAGGGTTCTTCGCCTGGCATCCAGAACAGGTTTTAGGAAACTTTCTGAAATTATAAGGAAAAGTTTGTGTGGTATACATTTTCTAAGGACAAAGAAACTGCTTTCACTAGACTTTCTGAGGGGTTCAAGGACAAAGACAATTAAGAACCAAAAGGACCAAGTTGACAAAGTCCAAGCTATGTAATTTGGCATATAAAGATCCTCCCAGTACCTCTCTCTGGCCACTGGTCTGCAGGAACCCACACCTCACCAGTCCCCACGACTTTTCTGTCTCTGTGCTTCTGCGCACACTTTCCTGAAATAACCCTGAGATTACACACACCTACCAAGTGGCAGAGCCTGGATTACATCCAGGTCTTCAGAGTTCACAGTCGTTCCATTCTATAGTGGCATGACATTTTGCACTAGGACATAGTACTCACAAGTACACCAGACTCCACCCAAAACAGATTTCATGCAATTCTCATATGTAGATCTCACATATATACCATATATATATATATGATATATATATATATATAACATATATATATATATGTATATGTCACCGTTGCAGTCCATTAAGTTATAATGCTCCATTAATGAGTTACTGCCATCAGTATTAAAATGCTGCACTATTTTGCTGATGCAGGGAGCTCATTTCTGAGCAGCTATTATCTTAGCCTCAGCAGTAGAAAGGTTTCGGGACTTCCTAGGAATGCAAAAGCTATGTTGTTTGCTCGTGAACTGACCACTTTCTATCAGTCTCGATTCAAGCGACCCTCTTAGTTATGCACTAACACCCATCTGTTCATTTTAAGTCTTCTAGGTCATCAAACATCACCTAGCAATTCAATATTAGTTTATTACCATGTAAAGCTATACATCTTATATAAAATGCAGGATATCAGGAAGTGAGCACACAAAATTGAAAACATCAATACAGTAGGATAATTCACAATTGAAAAAGAAGAAAATAAATAAGGACCATGATTTTTAAATTAGTTCAGAAGAGCCGGGCGGTGGTGGCGCACGCCTTTAATCCCAGCACTCGGGAGGCAGAGCCAGGAGGATCTCTGTGAGTTCGAGGCCAGCCTGGTCTACCAAGTGAGTTCCAGGAAAGGCGCAAAGCTACACAGGGAAACCCTGTCTCAAAAAAACCAAAAAAAAAAAAAATTAGTTCAGAAGAGGCTGTTTTGGATACTAAGTAGATTAGGGAGAAGCTTGAAGGAAAACATGTGAAATCGTTGAATATCCTGGCCCAAATCAGCTCTTAATAATCACGTTTCAAGAGTCCCACAGGAGTCAACACATCACCTTGAAATACCATGCAATTTTGTTTAAAAAAAATAGACTTTAAGCAAAATACATCAACCCTTGACATGTTGTTTGTTGGAGGAACTAGTGTATAGTTCTAGACAAAAACAAGACAAAACAAAATAATGGTGGTTTCTCATTATTTATACTAGCATCCTAATCAAGCTCTGTTCCTTCCGTATGCACTCTAAAATCCCACCTTTCAAAAAAGATTGGTTTTTATGTGTGTGGGTGTTTTTCCTGCATGTGTATATGTGTGTGTCTGGTGCCAGTGACATCAGAAGAGGATGTCACATACCCTATAACTGGAGTTAAGAACGTTTTTGAGCCACCATTTGGGTGCTAGGAACTGAACCTGGGTCCTCTGCAAGAACAGCCAGTACTCTGTTGAGCCATCTTTCCAGACCCATCTCCCCCTTTTTAAAGCAAGAGCCTCACTGTGTAGCTCAGGCGATCTCAAACTTGCAATCCTCTTGCCTCTGTCTCCAAAATTCTGGGATTACAGGTATGTACTGCCATATCATGTTTTAGTGCCCCTCTAAAATGGAGTCACTAAGTCACCATTTGTCTAATCTCACTTCCCTTGAATAAGGAGAATCTCCTACATGCTTGTCTCCTTAGTATATGACATACAGCAAGAGCTTAGTGTTTGTAAATGAATGACTGCAATCATACCGGCAGCCTCCGATTCAATCAGCACA